AAAAAAATAATTTCGTGGCTTTTAAATAAAGCCACGAAATTTTAATTTTTTTTTTAGCGATCCGTCGCTTTAAATAGTGACGGATCGCTTTTTTAATTTGATTTTTTCCGTTGCTATTTAATAGCAACGGATAATTTTTTTTAAAAAAAAAATTCGTGGCTTTTAAATAAAGCCACGAATTTTAAAATAAAAAAGATTATGTGGGCTTTTATTTAAGGCCCCAAAATTTTTAAGGCTCGAGCCAGGCCTTAGTTGGGCTTGGCTCGTGAGCCTAAGGCTCGCGAGCCTATGAGCCTATAATATTAGGCTCAGCTCGGCTTGGATCGGCTCGCGAGCCTTAAGGCCTATGAGGAGCTTTACATATGCATCATGGTACGATCAAGATTTCACAAACCCGATATGGAAAATATATAATTTATATAATGTAGAAGCATATAATTTCAGAAAAACTGGACACGCATGTCCGGGCGCAGTAATGTGGCGCAGTAAATACGTTTTTATTGATATATATCTACTATGTGAATGCGAAGCAAAAAATATGGACACAGTATATTTACGAAGCAATCATTTTCATTTAAAACCCCAACGATCACTTGATTAATATTATCTAGAGATAGATTAAAAATAGATCTTGCTGAATAGATCGAATTTGTGATATTTTTGAAAAACAATGAAAGCAAGTAAAAGAAACTACTGCATGCGGCTCAAAACAAACTGACGAATTTTGACTAATGACTTAAGAACCTTTTCTCTTTCATCTGAATTTGCAAGATCCAGACCAGTCTGTTTACCATTAATCATTGGCCACCTTTTTATCACAACTGACTGTTCTTGTGGCAAACCTTTGTCAAGATCTTCCCAGTATGCTTCAGGAATTACAGCTTTATAAAATGTGACATGCATAGAAATTACACGCATGGCAAAGACGGTCTGTTCAATAATTTTTTCACTTATATTTTCGTCTCCACAGGCTAGAATCTCGGCAGAAAGTTGTGTTTCTCCAAAATTAGTCCTTGCCTTAACATTTCTTAGGTGTTTATCCTATTGTAAAATTTATTTAATCACAAAGTACGGATAATAAAACGATCAAAAACTATATATACCTCTACAACCACCATAGATACGTTTTTGTTGCTCACTACAAATTCAGGCTCTGCTGAAACATATGGTTTTCCAAAAAGGGATAATCTGTATAGTGGGTGATTCCTGGATTTTGAAAGAATGAAAACTTTAGGAAATCATTAAAATGAGCTGACACAAAGACTTTCCGACAAATTACTCACGCAATTGTGAGAGGATAGTCATCTATTTTAACTAAACGAAGCAAATTATCCACTAACGAATCAGTCTTGAATTCACGTGTGCTTTCTACATATTTTTCATTCATTAAGACCCAATGCATTTTGGTAATAAAAGTCCGAACCTGATTATCAGAAATTCCGACAAATTTCTTGACATCAAAATCTTTATCTTCAAGTATTTTGCGATTAATTTTGGGGAGAAGGTATTCTTTTGGAAAATTAATAACTATACAATATTTGGGTTAGTGCAAGTGTTTACTGAAAGAACAGTTAAGATGACATGTTAATACTTTTAGAGTCATGAATGTCGGGAATAACGTCCTCAACTGAAGCTGGTTTAAAGATCACTCCCAGTAAATTCATATCATTCCTCGTAAACAGAGATGCTGAAGTGGATATTTCGGGTAAGCACTCTTTTTTAAGAATGAACTTGAACAACTTTCGCGATAACGTAAACCCGAGGTCAGATAGTGTTGAGAAAAAAACTGCTGGCTGAAGAATACTTAAAAGTCTTGTATTGAAACCAGTCATTTTTTAGAGTGGTAATACCTATTTTTTTACAATCTACAGATAATAGCATAGGGCTAGTTTGTTTTTATTGGATGATAATCAGTAGTAACGTGACTGGTCAAATAATATTTAAACGAATAGAAATCTTAGATTCATATCAGGTGATTAAAGAAAATTATCTTTAGTCGAACTTTAAATTATTTAAATTTTTTTTTATATTGGCAATAAAAATA